AGCAGGGTGTTGTTTGCCATGGGTTTCCACTGTAGTCTAGGGTAGCGAAGAATGACGTAAACATAACAACTCGGAGGTCTGCGCGAATTTCTCGGATCGACGCTGGGCGCCTCTCCCTGGCGCGCGGAGCGCGCCAGGGGCGGCGGCGGAGGCGCCGCCAGGGGGGTCCAGCGCAGATCCGAGAAAATTGTGGAGACCTCCGACTTTTTGTGTTTAGGTCAGTCTTCGTTCCCCTATTTTCGGCGTTTCGACATTGGGCGGAAGGGGGGGGGCCCGGGGGGGGGTCTGGCTCCGGACCCCTGCTTCCTGCGACTGTTTGCGACACTGCGTCCTGTGTGGGGGAGAGGCCCCGCCTGCTCGAAACGGGCGCCCAGAACAGCCAAGATCTACTCCACGGGGGGGGGGGAGGTGCGGGGGGGTGCGAGGGCCCGCGCCGATGGGCAAAACAATTAGTAAGAAAACGATCACCTTCCTGAGCCCTGAGTGGTCAATGTTTCAGCGTGTCGATGGCAGGTCGCTCAACCTCGCGTCTCGTGCCGTGCGACATGCGGCGGGCTGCTGCGTGCGCGCCCTCACGCCGCCAGGGCGGGGAGACGGCACGGGCCGCGAAGCACGAGGTGCGAGGGCCTTTGTGGTTTATGCGTGTGGCCAGGAGTACCAGAGGTCTGAGCTCAGCTGCTCGTCGAAATTAAACGAGCACGCCTCGCTACACGTAGCAAGGCTGGAAATAAACGCTGATGTTCGTTATGTGTTCGTTGCGTTTTCGTTTTGCTCTACCTGTTTTCCTGGACCTCCTCTTCCCACAACGGAAAGCGAAGCACAGCCGAAGTCCAGCAAAACACCGTTTAGGTCAAGCCCTGACAAGTAGCGTGCGCTGAAGCCTTGGATAAGGACAGACTCATTCTCGGGACCTCGGGGGGCATCATGGGCAAATGCGAATCAACTGTGACTGGTGGATGCCTGTCTGATGTAGACGTGCGGCTGTCACTGCGCAGAACAAGTGCCTGTATCTGGATGCGGCTGCGGTGCTACTAGGTAGCAACGGGGCAGTTTCCAGGTTCGACCTGAAGCAATGCCAGGGGGCAGCAACGATGTATTGCAAGTGTGAAGCCTCCATGAGGGTAAACATCGGATGCGCTTGCGGCCAAGCTGAGCAAACCACCGCTGCCCGCAAGAGCCCCTGATCCCACTGTTATAAGACGCCCCGCGCGAACATCATAACGAGGAAGAAGAGGCCTCTCCAGCAGACAACACGGACTATGTTGAAGGGGCCCTGGGGCACAACAAATAGACACTAATCCCAGGATTCCGCATTTTTTTTCATATGTTTGGGATGTTCGTTTTCCCCCCATTTCCCATATGTTTCCGGATTTTCCGGGGAATCGACGATTACTTGTGTCTATGTTTTCCCTCCTGGATATGTATCCCCGGTAAGCCTGCAAACAGTGATGGGGGAGCCAGCGAAACATAGAGCAAGGGCGCAACGGCGTCTCCCATGCGATGCTCGTTATTCGGCAAGCGGCGCAGCGCGCGGCGTTCCCAGGGTCAGAAGTTCAGCAAGGAGAGGAAAGTGCAGAAAAGAGAAGCTCAACGAGGAGTTCAAGGAGAAAGAAAAAGTGGAAGTGGTGTTGGTGGGGGAGGAGACGGAAGAGGACCTCCCCATCCGTTTTCGCCCTCCGCAGAACCCCCCTTCCCACCCTCCTTCCTTTCCCTTCCATTTGTGGGTGCTCTAGCTGGCGGCTGGACGTTCGCGAAAGCCTGTACCGGACAACATGGAATATGAAACCAAAGCTCCTCCGGTGGAGCAAGGGGGGAGGAGGAGGAGGAGGAGGAGGAGGAGAAGGAGGAGGAGGAGGAGGTGAAACCCGACTTCGCCTTCTCTCGCGCTTTCTTGAGAACCCCAGTTGCACGCATCACACATGATCGTGGGGAAAGGGCAGGAGCGGCCTTACTGTCCCTGACTGAAGGCAAGGGTCCCCTCCCCTCACTCGTATCCACGACCAAATTTCGATTTATCCTCCCACGCTCTGCGGATATTCCGTTGAAGCGCTCCGCACAGCAACGTTCAGGGGGTCGATCCTTCCCATCAGCGGAAATTCAAAGCAGACTGTTCAGATTTCTACACAGGCGCTACCGCACCACTGGTCTCTCTATACCACTTTTGGAATTCACGGTCGAATCGAACAGGACCTGTTGCTCGACTACGTCGAAGACGAATCTGAGAAACTGCTCGGATCTCCACTCGCCAGCTGCTAAGATGGCACCCAGTGATTCGCCCTGCGTCGCCAACTCAGTTGCCCTCCCTCCTCGGAACGAATTGAGGGAGCAGCGGTTCCTGGCACGAGTGCCAAGCTGAGAAAACGTCTCAGAGCCCGCACAAAAATACTACTGTTAAAATCGAACAATCTCTGGCCGCGAATCCTTCCACGCGAGAGCACTTCGACTCTGTGCACGGGGCGGAGTCACTCGCTGGCTGAGGCGCGCGAGCCTGTCCCTACTA